AATGTAATGTAATGTAATGTAATGTAATGTAATGTAATGTAATGTAATGTAATGTAATGTAATGTAATGTAATGTAATGTAATGTAATGTAATGTAATATTAACTGACATTTAACAATTATTCGCCGAAAACGAAGTGAATATCGGGGAATATTTACCGAGACGCGAGTCTTCGAGCTGCGAGGTAAATATTCTCCGATTTTCACTGAGCCTGAGGCAAATAATTGTTTAAATATAGATACACAGTTGATTCTTTCAAAAAAAAGAAGATAAAAGACTTTCTTTTCCGGTAACAGCAACGAAGAGGCTGGCCGCCATTTTGGATTATCGCTGGAGGTGATTATCGTGTGCTAGTGTGAGTTTCTCGACCAATCAGCGCGCGAGATTTTCAATAGTCACCTGTGTATTTTTACTTAATAGTCTTATTTCAAGTCAATCCGTCGTTATATGTTATCTTCAGGACCATGTCGGTACATCAACCTAGTGTGGGCTCCCTGTGTTGTAGTATTGGTCTAAGTCTATTCTTGTTGTTTTAGCCCCAAGAAGAAGTGTCGATACACGCCACGCGCGTTATGGGTATCCTTCAGTACCATGTACGTCAACCTGTTATCAAGGTGTTTTGGTGTGCTTGGAACAGTCATTTCTCGCCATCCATTCCTGACTGTTGCTGTCGCTCTCGGTTTTGTTGGAGTTTGCTCAGGGGGCGTCTACTGGATGAAGGTAGAAAACAGGTAAGACTGGTTTCTATACAGAGCTAATGAAACCTGTGTGTAAATTTTTGTCTGAATGTGTTTTTAATTCGTTTCTGTAATCTTTGTAGCGTCGAAAACCTCTTCATCCCTCAAGACAGTCGCGCCATTAAAGACATGAATAAAGTCAAGATAAACTTTCCCATGGAAAGCAGAATAGAAACTGTTATATTTGAACCCAAAGAATCTAGTCAATACGTGCTGAGCAAAGCTTGTCTCCTTGACGTACTAGCTGTTCATGATGAAATCATTAACACCAAACCTTATCAAGAACTATGCCTTTCTCAACCATCCACCTACAACTCTCCTTCATTCTGTCTGTTCTTGAACCCTTTAGACATAGTGCAGTTCAACCAGTCGCTTTTCTCAAATGCTACACGGAAGTTTGAAGAAGCTTTCAGAAATAAAGGGTTAATGATGCGTAATGGACGTCCATTTTGGTACAACATGAGAATGATGTTTGGTGGACTGGACATTGATAGTGTGTCTGGAGAAATATCCAAGGTTGATGCTCTACAATTGCTGTATTTTATGAAAAACAGTGATAAGGAGGACAAAAAGATTATGGATTGGGAAAAGAATGTGGTTGAGAAAATAGAAAAGTTGAAAGATAGTCTATCATGTATGAAGGTATACATCAATATGCAAAGAAGCCTAGATGATGCCGTACAAGAAAGTGCAACAGGTGACATTAGGCTAATCACTGTCAGTTACATATTGTTGATCTCGTTCGCTTGTATCATGCTGGGAAAGTTCAGAAATCCTTTGACAGGACATTCACTTCTTGCTAACATCGGGATCTTTGCGGTTTTTCTCGGGATTATCGCGGGATTCGGGTTTACGATGTTTGTTCGAACACCTTTTATTAGTATAGTTGGAGCTTTACCGTTTTTGATTGTTGGTATTGGAATCGATGATATGTTTATTATCATAGATGAACTGGATCGCGTTGGACCACAACTAAGTGTAACTGATACTGTTAAGGTTGTGATGRCGAACTCTGGAGCAACCATCACCATGACAACTATGACAGACYTCGTGGCTTTTGCTGTAAGCACGTGGTCTGAACTGCCAGCAATACAATATTTCTGTCTGTACGCTGCCATGGCGATATTCTTTGCATATTTAATGATAATTACGTTCTTTGTTGCCATGATGACGTTTGACRTTCGTAGAGTRAAAGCAGGACGTCGAGACTGCTTCCCAGTCTGTCGTGTTCCTCYTCCAAAAGAAGGTGCGCCAGCATGGGACGAGCCTCGTACCCAGACCGCTAATAAGTTATTGACTGCATGGGCTAAAATACTGATGAGAAGAGAAGTGAAGTGCATTGTGGTGCTGATTTCATTGGGGCTTTTAGGTAGTGGTATATATGGGGCCTTGAACATCAGTGAAGATTTTGATACCAGATTGTTGGCTGAAGATGGCTCGCCGTTCATATTATTCACAAACGCTCAGGACCGATATTTCCCGCCTAAGATAGAAGTCAGTATCATACTTGATGAGCAAGTCAACTACACGAGTCCAGAAACACAGAAAGATATTCTACACTTGTCAAAGATAGCTTCACAGAACTCGTTCTATGAAAACACAACTATGTCTTGGATGGAAACACTTGCTGCATTCTCAAAGAAGAAAGGTTTGAGTCTAGAAGGAAAAAACTTGATGCCAACATTGAGAACATTCCTAAACATCCCAGCATATTCTCATTTCAGGGAAGATTTACGATTATCTGAAGATAAAGGAACAGTCAAAGCGTCTCGTATTCTTTGCTACATCAAGAAATCCTTGAATTCGATTGGTCAACGAGATGCCATGGTAACGCTGCGAGAAGACCTGGACAACAGGTCACCTCTTCCAGCGTATCCAATCTCCAAGGCGTTTATTTACTTTGAACAGTATGCCATAACATCCAAAGCAACAATACGTAACTTAGTGATCGCGTCTATTGCTATATTACTGATTACCAGCCCTTTCCTGGTAGATTTTAGTGTGACTATCTTGGTGTTCTTCGGGTTCGTAGCGTTGGTGTTCGAGCTGTTCGGGCTGATGTACATCTGGGGCTTATCATTACATGGAGTGTCCATGATTAATCTGATTATGGCCATTGGATTCGCTGTGGACTATAGTGCGCATATTGCGCATGCGTATATTATGTCATCCAAGAGTAGCGCCGAGGAGCGAGTGATAGACGCCTTGAGGACTTTAGGTGCAAGTGTGTTGATGGGAGGTAAGACACCTTACTAAGACACCATTTATTGATATTTATTTTACATTGATAACTAATCCATATTAATATCAGAGATTTTGGCTTTCGCTATGTTTTCAAGCTATTAAGCCTGTCGTTATTTGCCTGTCCGAAGTTCTGTTAAAGTGCTAATCTGACGATAATCGCTCAAACTTGGATTCAGCTGAAACTTCCTAAGAATACTCTTTCGAGGTCCAATAATCACTGTATGAAGTGTTTTCTCGATATTCAGGACAAAAGTATGATATTTTTACGATTATTTTTTGGTCTGTGACGTCATACACTCAACATCAAACATTGCTACATATATTTCTTTGGATATAAATCCTTA